AAATTAACTAAATAGCTACATCAAAATTAATTAATAATTTTTTAAAAAGAAATCATCAAATGACACAGACAAAAAAGAAGAAATCAGACATCAAATCCAAAAACAAGTAAAATTTATACAGTTCAAAAAATCTATAATCGCTGGTTTTAAATGTACTGCTGTCTCAAGAAAGAGGAAAGATTCAAGTTTTTTTAAACTTCTTTCAATAATGGATGTTTTATATTTATTAACATTCCATCTTAGTTATTACTGCTTATTATTAAATTAATTGCACCCATTTTAATATTGTTGGAACAAATTGTGAATAACAGGAACTATATAACTAAGAATATTCTAGTTGGCTCCTATATCTTTAAATGGCTATCAAATTAGAAAATCCAGGAGCCAGATGTCACTAAGGATTTTGTCTAACTTTGAGCTCCAGGCTTCAATGCAAATTAAGTGAGAACAATATCCATACATCTTTTTCAATTATACCTTTTCCACAATAACACAAAAGTAAAAAGATAAGGAAAAGGAAAAGTGATAACTTAAATATAACCCTTTACATCCATACATTTATTAAGCAAAATTTCAAATAATTTGAACTAACAACACTTACCACATCATCAGGAAAATTATTCTGCTTGTTTAATAATTGTAAGCCCAAAAAACTTATGTTGAACAAGTCTGCATCTAGGCTTTCAAAGCTTAAACACATTACTCCTACTATTCCAATTAATACCTACAACATTTCCATTCCCCTACCTAAACAGACAATCCATGGAAAGATTGTATAAACTCTTTAATCAAGCTTTAACCAGAGAAAACAAGTCCAAAGCTCTGAGCCTTTCTGTACAGCTTAAATAAAATAAACCAGGTATTATTTTAGTATCCAATTTCCACTCTTTCCAGTATGTTAATATTTTTCCAATAGCAAGAGGGCCAGAAATTCACACAGTACTCCATATGAGTTTATATAAGATTACAATAACCTTAATGATCTTAGATTCAAAATTCCTATGAACAGAGCCATGAAATAGGCATACCTGGAGAACATCAAGAATATAATTTCATTACTTAACCACGAAGATTAAATACCATTACTAGAAGTAAAAACAAAATAAAATTCAATTGCACACAAGAATACCATAATACATAATTTACTCATACAAACTGATGATGCAAAAAATAGCTAGCAAGAATCAATAAAAGATTTTGTAATGTGATCCCAAGTTCTCTTTCAGTTAAGAAAATAAAGCCTGGTATCTTCAAAATTGGAAATATTCATTAATACTGTCTCTTTTTGAGAAGATATAATCAAATTTTTAAGAAACACCATGTATAATCATCAAAATCAAATGTTATTTGAGTAAGGTTACCCCTTTTAATTTCATTTCTTTGAAAACTAGGAATGCAACAGTTAAGAATGGAGTTTCATGTATTACTTAGCATTTGGATTAGAGCCCAAAAGAAGTATTGGAGAAAGTCTGCATTTTTCCCAAGTTGGTTTGACAATAAAAAAAAAATCATACATCAAAGATTGGAAAATAGAAATATAACTGGGGAGGATTAAAGTTTATGTAGATAAGTAAATCAGCAAAACTGATGGGTAAAATATTACTCTTAACAGATATGTTAGAAGATGTATGACAAAAGAAAATTTACTTATATGTAAACTTCTGAGAAAAATCTGTCAAATAAACTGAACAATATGGTGGATAATAAACCACCAGCTTCACAAAACTTGTATTTTAAGGCCTCATCTGAAAGAATTTTTAAGAATATAACACAAACACAGACAAACAAGTTAAGCTGAGTGAAGCAATTTTATAGTCATATTTATTGTCTGATAAAAAACATCTGAGCTGATATCAATTTTAAAAAAATTTAAAGTTTGAGCACAAAATAAATCACAACTTATGTTTATGCCAACACCAATACTAATTTACAAATAAGCAAAACAAAAGAATCTTAAACAAAAAATTGAAATAGTAACACATGTGTAATAAATAGTACAAAACATCTGTTGACATAAAACTAACAAGTTACACTAAAAATGATGCAACTAACATTTTGTTTAATGTACACTATAAGTATAATTCGGCCAAGTTCAATTTAACCTATTTTGACAAACAAAAATATTAGTATATGCAGACAATTCATAAATAATGTCAATTACCAGTACCACTGACAATATTTTAATTGTAAATGTACCACTACCTGGTATTGAAGTGCGTCACACATTAAAGTTAAAATACAAACGCTAGACAAATAATTTTTAGTTACACATGCTACATTCCAAACAGCCAATAATTGTCTTCTAATATATAAGCTATTATAAAAGACTAAGCCAGTCGACTACAGTACATTCGTTGTACTACACTATTCTCTATATTACTTACTATTGTATACTAGTAATAATATTAATATTACTATACACTACACTACAGTATACTATAGACTAGTTACACTGACTCACAGTGATTATGGTATTTCATGAAGTTAGCATCTTTAAAACATAATTACATCGGTTTCACACAAATCAATTTATCAAAAGAATGAATACCCACTTTTTAAAAAAATGCAACACACTGAATTATTCTACACTTTAAATTAGAATAACTATCGTATTTTTCGTTCATGCCCATCATATTAGTAATACACGATCCTTAAAAAAACATTATGTGTTATCCGAAAAGCGCCATCTTTTATTCGTAAATAAGGCACACAATAAAATGCAGCAATTTGGTATAACTTTAATATAACTGCATTTTATTGCGTGCGTTTTATCTTAATAGAAAGAGAAATGTGTGTAAGACATTTAATTTGTTAAAATGTATGATTGCAAGTAATCATATGATATTTTATTTGCGAATTACCACTATTTCTTTGGGGTGAAGTGTTTAATAATTTTAATGTGAATAACCTTACGAGTTAGGTTTTCTTTTTCCTGATTCGTTATTATTGCAATCATTATTTTTTATTTCGATATTAACAACGTTGATTTTTTTGTATTTTTTTAAAGATTTGGTTGTTTATCTATCTGACCAGGCATTATATTAGTGTTTAATAGTTTTTAAAGTTTGTATTGTGTTTAATAAATGTCCTAATTTTTCGTACCTTAGTAGTAAAGTCATTACCTGATGCGCGAAGGGTTTCAGATTTTGCACAAAGCTACACAAGAACTATCCATAAAGTTTTATGGCAACAGATCGCGAAACATGAATATTCAGTTAATCATAAGGCCATGGTAATTTATACAAAAGAGTTTAATGCGAAAAATATATTTCTAAGAACAAATGCTTGTTATTTACTTATTACAATGTAACAATTCATTTTTTTAATTGCTCTTTTTACACAACCTTAGAAAATTTTCTGAAACTTAAAGACCATCTTGCAACATCCCTTTCGGTGTAGAGCATGGCCAATCCTGTGAGACGCTCACGAGATTTGAATGGTCTCAAATAGGTATTAATTAATTTAAACTTTGAAAACTCCTCTCAGCAAATGCAACAATTACTTTAGTTGTAAGTTGCTTGCTTGTTTGTTGTTGTTTTTGCGTAAAGCTAAGCAATGTGTTATCTGCAGTCTGTCCATTACGGGGAATCGAACTCCAGATTTTAGCGTTCTAAGTCCGAAAACTTACCTTTAACCCACTAAGGGGAGCTGCCAGTTGCACCACGAGAGAAATGCACACATTGGGATATATTGTTGCTAAATCACTTTTGTAAATAAAACGCTGTGTTTCAAGAGGGTCAAATATCTCTGGGAGAGTTGTAGCTAGACTTTGAAGATAAACCTCTAAATTAATTCCACTGACATCTAACTTGGCTGCATCAGTGTTGAAGTGCGATTTTACTAGTTCATTGATTATATTCTACATTTCGAATTACTTTAAACGTCATACATGAATCCCAAAATTGACATGTAATCACAGAAAACTAAACTCTATATCACAATTACTTATGCCTGTTAAATACTACCGTTTAATTCAGATTAAAGTTTGAGCTGTACTGTCTAGTTCAGAATTTGTTTTTAAATGGAGTCCTTTCATTTCATAGGGCACTGCACGTGCATACTGCTTTTCACGTGAGATTCTAGTTTTCTGCAATATATTGCCAGGAACAAAAGCCTTCACTTGGCAGCTGCATGCTATCCTCGCCAAACGATTTAAAAGAGAAAAATAACACAACACTGTGTCTAGATTTAAAGAAAACAACAACCATGATGGCAGTTTCTTCGTATTTTCCATTTTGCGAAAATCTTTGTCCTCTGCACAGTATTTATTAAGGATTATCCAAACATGTTAGTAATGAAATGAGGATATTATTTAGTCCTTAATATAGTGGAGAACAGTCCTATGAACATTTGTGAAATCTCAGGAGGGAGATTACCGTTATCTACCTTACACAAAAAGCAATGTCTGTCACTATCGGGTATGAAGTGGTAACGCTATGTGGATGGAAAATATTTGCATTAATTACAATGCACCATATATATATATAGTAACAGCAACGAAAACTAACTATGCGTATGTAAAAATCTGAAAAACTTCCCATGTTTTTCTGCTATATGAGTATGCACTCCAGCTTCCCTACATCGGTAAAATTCATAAATTGTTTGCTCAGAATAAACATCTGCTACACTTCTATGAATAGGAGCACGTTCCTATGGTTGTCCAGCTTGCTACGATACATTTTATTTGTTGTTCGTAGGATGAGAACCATTGAATATATAGAGTTAAGTGATGAGAACCTAGAAAACAGAAAATGGCCGTTGCGGAGATTTTTCATCCTCATTTTTGTAATGAAGTTGAATAGTCTAGGCAAGAAAAAAAAAACAGATGTAATCATGTAAGCCTAATCAACCCGAGCAACTAAGACAGAAAGTTGGGCAAGACAAAACGACGCCCTTCAGGCCGATATAAAAAGAGACAATTCGATGAGCTAAACGAATCAAATATTAAAATTGCTTCATAGATTTTTGGAATTTATGTTTCAACAGAAAGAACAGATAGTTTTAAAGATAGATTGGATGCTGAGAGATGTATTTTAATCCATCAGACAATTTAATGTCATTGTGAACGAGATATTCAATATCTTCCAAGAACAAAGTATACAAAGAACATTTCAGCCACTGTTGATAAGAAAGAATAAAAGTTGATATAACAACTAGAGCCAAACCCTATAAAATGTTCTGTTATCATTGTCTTTAGAATCTGAATGAACTTAAAACTAGCATGAAACTGTTAAAACTAAAATTTTATTTTTAGATAAACATCTTTGTCTTTATATTAGTCATATGATCTAAGTTTAACATGTATATATATACTCACTATTATGAAATAAAAACATAATGATATATACAGTAATTATAATTTGTTTGTTTGATCGTAATTAAGCACAAAGCTACGCAATAGGCTATCTGTGCTCTGCCCACCACGGGTATCAAAACCCGGTTTCTAGCGTTGTAAGTCTGCAGTCTTACTGCTGTGCCAATGGGGGGGGGGGAGCAGTAACTATAGAACTAGGCAGTAAAAAAATTGAACCTTTTGCCTTTGAAAGACAAATAGAAATGAAAGACGAATATGATCAATATACGTTTCATCAAATCAATTCTTATTATAACTTACTAAAAATTAAGATGAAGATGAAGAAACAAATGTGTGTTTTTATTTTGTGACCAGACTGTTGACGTACTAAAATTAGTATCAGAGGATGCAGCACAAACTTGGTTATAATTTATTTAATTCTCATTCCCACCTCCAAAACAGCTAGGACGGTCAGTACAGACGTGACTGATTTTGTCTTTATGAAGCATAAATAGCATATTTCAAGCATTTCACTCAACCATGGCTTATCATTGCACATGAAATAAACATCTTATAATATACAAGGACCAACATAGGCTACAAGAGTTAATATTTACTGGCTGAAACAGAGCTGCATTCTTTGACATTCAAACATAGTTTCAAAACTGACATTATACTAATTTTGTTTCAAAAATCAAGAAGCAATAAAAAAAGTGTCTTGCCATAAGAAATGAAGACTTATGTGTAACATTTGAAACTAAACATTCAAAATGGAATTGAATCCATTGCCACCAGAGCAGTCTTAGATCCTCCGCCTCGAGGTCTGCTAGAGGACACTTTTCTCAAGTCTCGTCTTTGACCTTGGCCTCTGGGGTGTAGCTGTGGATGTTTCAGATTGGTCACGTAATTTGCCATAATTATAACTTTCATAAAATGTCTAGGTATTGACTCATTGCTTTTTTATCAGAATAGAGTAAATTGATTTTCCAAAATTAAACTATGAAGGGCTTAATTACACGTAATTTAACACTGTTCGGTTTATATTTAACATTTTGGATATTTTCCTTCCCTGGTATTTTAACAATTTCGATGGGGATGCTCCACTACAAAAACACTTCAAAATAGAATAGAGTATATAATAAAATATATTTGTTTGTTTATTTTTAGAGCAAAGCCACATTGGACTATCTTCTGTGGACTATCTTCCAAGAGGAATCAAATCCTGGATTTTAGCGTTGTAAGTCAGTAGACTTACCGCTTCTTTTTACAGAGAACATTTGTCTTTGCTTCCCCCCCCCCCCCAGTGGCACAACGGTATGTCTATGGACTTACAACGCTAGAAGTCTGGTTTCGATACTTTTCGAATTAACATTTCTCTGCTGAAGCATACCAATGGAGAAAAACGTGTTCAAAATGCAAAAAGAAGATTGTTGAGATCAAAAGGAATACATCTGGATTTTATAAGAATTTTTATTCAATATCTCTTCATAAATAATGTATATTGTTAGTAATTTAGGTACACAAAAAATGCAGCTATTTATTATAACTTCATTTTATTGTGTGCATTTGATCTTAATAAAGTGAGAAATATACGTAGGATATTTGATTTGTTAAAATATATGATTGTAAGTACTCGCTTGATATTTTAATCGCGATTCACTGTTATGTTTTCGGGAAATGGCTAATATTGTTAATAACCTTATGGCGGATAAGCTATAAGTTTCCAGACTTACAACGTTAAAATCCAGGGTTCGGTACCCTGCAGTGGATATAGCTCAGATAACCCATTGTTTAATTTTGCGTTAAAAAATGTAAAACAACAATGAGGTTGGTTCAATAAGGTTCCCGGTCTTGGCCTTAGATTGCTTTGTGGCTCAAGGCCTTCACCTTAGCCTCATGACTTCTGGCCTTCACTCCAAGACTGCTCAGAACACAAGTGAAAATCCAATAATAGTGCCTCTAGGTATGTTTGTTTGTTGTTAAGCGCAAAGCTACACAATGGGTTATCTGTAATGTGCCCACCACGGTTTTTAGCATTATAAGCCTTCAGATTTATCACTGAACCGCTGATGAACGCGCCACTGGGATATCATTCACAGTATTTTTGGTTAAATCCAATCATTCAAAAATAATTAGAAAATGAGCAAAAATCCTTTAAAGGTTAAGATTCAGATGCAGGCTAATAGTATCGTCATCAATTAGTGAAAGTGGTTCCAACCTTTTTACCGTTAAAATACGACTTGAGAATATAGTGTCACACCAAAAAAAGAGAAAAATGGAGAAGGTTACATAAATCGTAGTAGTAGACCTTACAATGATAATATAAATCACTGATTTCGGTCAACAAGCATAGTCATGAATGAATCACTAAA